TTATAACATTTTCTAAATTTAAGATGTAATGTTTATTATATGATGAATGTTTTTCTGGCTCTTATTGTTTAAACTATGGGTGGACATCTATCAATAATAGTTTATATATGTCGAGCATAATAATAAGAGAATAATAGTTTATATACTAGCTTTTGCCCGCGACATCGTCCGCGTGATAAAAATACTTTAAGCAGCATTTCTAACGAATATTTATTCATTATATTCTGTAAAATACCTGAAATAAAGTTTCGTCCCCTATTTTATCCCCTTAGGGGTGGAATTTATCAAAATCCTTTTTAGGGGATGCCTATGTCATAGTAGCTTTATGCATGCAAAGTTTCAGCCCGATCGGTCTTGTGGATTGGGTTGTGCGTTGATAGATCACTATGTCAGTCAGTCACCTTTGAGTTATATATATTTAGATTATATTAACGTTAGAAAGTTTTTATGACCAATTGAAAGAATTAAAACATTTGAAATCTAATGCTTGAGCAGCCTATCAATTAATTAATATTATTGAAAAATAAAAAAATCGTTATCTCTTGTCTGATGTGTTATATTGTATTATAAAGTATTAAATAAATAAAATAAATTATGTAATTGGTACTACTTTGAAATGCATAAACAAAAATTGAGTTTTTTTTTATACAATACGTTTGTGTTTTGTAGACTCATGAAGGTGAAGTTTGTATAAGCGGGTGATTGTGGACTGTAACTTCTTAAAATTTCGAAAACGCGGTAGCGCCAACCGTGTCCTACCTATACTTTCACAACTATGATATTCTGTTAAAAAAAACATACTCGATTTGATGTCCGAGCGCAGCGTTGTCATGGTATATACCTGTGGGCAAATTTTACTAAATAAATTTTGTTTAAATCGAATCGAAAACGGATCGAAACCGAACGAAACTACATTTTTTTATGGTTTTTCTATTCTACTAAGTGACACAAAATAAAACAAAAATTATTTAGTAGAATTGGCCCCTTGTACTACTCGTACGAATTAACGTGACAATAGACGGCAGTCTCCTAGATTTCGAAAGGGGTTCGAATCCCAATCTCAGGTTGCCAGGGACAAAGTGAATTTTTAAGCATTTTTCATAAAAAAATATCATGTGTATTTTCCAAAAGTGAGCATTCTTGCTTTACATGCCTTTATGCTGCTCAAATTTAACAAACAATGCTTAAAAATTACTCTAAAACACAATAATATCATCCGTTAATCATGTAATATGTGATACACACGTCTATTGAAACATTATTTTGTTAATAAAATCTATTTTCTATAAATGCAAATTCTGCTTGAAATTCACATTGTTTAAAATCACTCTAAAAAAGAAAATTAATTTCGTTCGATTATCACGTAATAATGTACTGTTACTTCGAGACATTTTGACAAAATTCATGATATTTTACTTCATATACAATAAAAGAATTACTTAGAGGATTCTTAGGCTGGAGGTGGCTGACAACTTTCGCTTTTGTATTTATATTTTTGGCTATTGATGGCTGTTGTTGTTTGTACCGTCATGCTCGTGGTTAAGCAAAGGCCCACAGTGGTAATGTAGCTCGGGGTAAGGAAAGGATAGTGAAAATAACCAGCCAAGTGCGCTATTTTACGTGTTATTTTTCAAAATTCAATTAGAAATTTGGGAGATAACTAAATGGTGATGATTAGATAACACTTTTTCAAAAACTTCGAAAATTTTACTTTCTTTCAAAACTTAATCTTAAAATCTATTCAAATGTGTTAAAAAATGTATCTCACGTTATTAACCTAACGTTTGTTAAAATTTTCTAATTTACCTCCCGAATTATTTTCTTACATTCAACTGTTTCATAATAACTAAGCTGTGACAGACAGATGGATAGAAAGACGTCCCAGCGGTTTTATAAAGATCTCAATTTTGCCTTTTTTGTGGTAAGGAACTGTAAAAGATTGAATTAGAAAACCATGGTCCATGGCGGCCATTTTCTTTTTCAAAATAGATATTAGTCTGAATGCAGGTATAAGTTTCCTGGACTACTCTGGACTCTGAATTATGTGTTTTCAGTTTCAAGGTGTTTTAGTATAGAAAATGCCCTTTTGCTATATTTAGGGTCTGGTTGCGGTTTCGTTGTTTTAGATTTCCATAATATTGCTTCGTAATTTGGGATCTGAACCAAAATATATAATATTGTCTAATATTCTTTGTGACACCATTACATTCACTCTAGGTGTCACCTTCTCTATCACGTTATTAGCCCTTTATAGTTATCAAATTGTAATGTTGTGCAGAAAATTTATCTTGGTATTAAAGTCGAGTGACCCACGACGCAGAGATAGGACACCACATAACATTACTAAATCGCACGTCGACGATATTAAATTACGTGAGTTTTATCTATATTAACATTATAAATAGCATTGAATAGGCTCCTAAAACTAAAACTACTGGACTGATTTAAAAAATTCTTTCACTTACTGGGAAGCTATATCATACGTATGTACATAATGTTACCAACCGTACTATATTACATAATAATATACTATATTTCGGGCCTACACACTGTTGAAAAAATATATACCTAATACAAAAAATGCTAACAAAACAATTCTTCATTTTAAAATTCACGATTGGGCCTATACTTTTACATATGTATATTAGTTTTTGACTAATGCTACTACTTTTATAACTTAATGCATTTGTAATATTAGAAAAAACATGACAAATTTAGTATGAAAACCAACAATATTTATTTTGAAATGGTGAGATGATAAAACAAACTAATGAAATATGTGCAATTGCAAAAGATTGTTGTGAGTTTAAATTAAATAATTAAAAATATATTGTGGCGCTGGAGATTATTCTTCACACATACATACATATGAACTCCGTAAACTCTAATAATATTAGTTTATAGTTTTGTACAAAAAAAATATTTTTTACTTTTGTAACGACAAAGAAGTCTAAAAAAAAGAGTATAAATGCAAAAGTAGGGGACTAAGTTGTCGTCCTTGGAGGACCCCTTTTACTCTTCAATAATAATTGCAAAACACTAGTTCTCTTTTAAAGCGTTCTTTCGAACGCGCCGGTTTTGAATACAAAAGCCAAATGGGATTGAAGCAGAATTGAAGCCCCCAGTCCAATTGACGACATACACATGCTTAAGCATTAGTATTTTTATTTCCAACATTCAGGTTTTTGCTTTTACATTGTATTTTTATTTTCAAAAAGTTTAATTTAGTACAAAAATTTTTATATTATTATTATGTAGAATTTTTACTTCGTAGTACCTTCGTAGCGGATTGCTACGAAATGCTACGAGCGACAAAAACCAACTATAAATCGATTTTTTCGTATATTTATATGTAGATTACTTATTATTATTTAATTTTACGTAAGTTTATGTATGTATCTAAAAGCTAAATTATCAAAAATAAATAAATAATATACAAACTCGGCATTTGTAAGTCATATTTTTTCATGTCTCCACGCAATTTTCCCACATCGCACAAAAGCAATCATCTTTTTTAGATGAGACGGAAGGGTCATTTAAGATACATCCTCGTCTATACGAGAGTAAATATAGATAGTCCATTCTCCCCAACACGTGTGTAGTGATGTGCCGAGTCGGATATTTTTGCATAAGTTACATAAAATCAAAATTGAAAAAGAAAGTCAAATCTTCGAAAAGGAATATTTATTGGACTCAAGGACTTTTAAAACTTTGCTCTGATACTTTGAAGCCATAAAATTCGAAAAAGAAAAGATAATGTAGATGTGTCTTTAAAAAAAATTGTTTTGTTACAGATACATAGAGTACTATGTATGGAGTTTAGTATTCGAATATTTATTATATAGATAAATATAAAAAAACACCAGTCCAAATGATGGAACTTTTTCTAAAAAGGGGTATTATTGACTCCGTCACGAATCATTGACAAATCTGGGGCAGCCTATGAACTAGCCGTAGCTGGTCCGAAGATTGTTGGCTTACTCAACAAATTCCTCCAGTGTTACTTTATTTTAGGGAAGGAGTAGTCTCATCAAACCCGAACCAAAATGGACCTGGGACTGGTGAATAAATATTAATGAAGCATTACGGAATTAAAATTCATCAAACTAAGTTCTGAATTCGAATATTAAGTCTCGGAATTTTAAAGTTTTCAAATACCTATGATATATTTGAAATTTGAATTGGTACTCGAGTCTGTCTGAGTCGACACATCACTACTTGTTTAGTATAATATGAGTTAGTGCGCCTACGTTGGTCGGGCCTAACATTCATAGTTTGAATGTTCGGTATTGAAATATTACATCCTACTCTATAGTTGCTTAATAAACCGTGGTTATCAGTGTCAGAACGGGATAAAATTGACTTTAATAAATTTAGAGTTCACTTCAAGGAGAACAAAAATAAACTTCACAATGTGTTCTTAATAAAATTAAAGATTACAGTAAATAAACATATTAACTAAACAATTTTACCAAAAAAAAACAATTTATTTAAATAAAAGATTATCTTACCTCCAATAAGAAGGTGTTATATACTAAAAATTAACCGGCTACGTAGAGGTTGTCTCTTTTTATACGAGTACCTATGGATAAAACTAACCAAATCATACGTATTTCACGTCGTATCAAAACTTTTAGCTGAAAACATATCGTCTGTAGAAATAAAAGTGATAGAGGTTTTATTTGAAAAGAGGCTCGTCTTATGTTTGTTTAGCTGGTGCGAGAGCTGTCATGGTTTTTTCTTTTCAGATTTTGGTCAAGGTCTCTAGAACTTGTGATCTTAACAAATGAATATTTAATCATACAATTGTCTATGAGTTCTCACACTAGTTTTTGAGAAATACAAATATATGTTATTATAACAAAGTGGTTTCAATATTGCCAAATTGTTATTTCTGTATTAACTAAAATAATTAATGATTTAAAAAGAATCGAATCTTTGTTAATATTTCTTAATTTAAATCTCCCTCCAATAAATTTTATTGTATAAATCGTCGAAACATGGTGGGGAAGATAGCTTCGGCGGCAACTGCAGTATCCATGCACAGTAGAAGGTTTGGAATTGATGTATCGTTTTCATTTAATAATTTTATTGGATCATTGACGGCTGAAATCGGACTTAAGGAAGAGCACGGTGCGACGGATTCACATACTCTATTCAGACCACGGCGGAAATTTAAAAAATGTATAATATTATGGGCAATCTATTAATTTAAGACGGTCGCTCTTAAAAAACCGTAATACAAACACAAAGGGTTTTTATAGGCTTTGGACTAAGAAATTAATCCCAATATTTAAAAAAAAAACTTGAATAACTATTATGAATTATCAATTAAAACTGAGAACGTCTTCAAACTTCAGAAATGCAAGGGTGAAAATAAATAGTTAAATCAACACGTATCCCTTAAGCCAGCAAACTTGGGCCAAAAGGCTCTTCTAATATGCTCCTGTATTGAGACTCATCAATTTCAAACTATTCTAAAATTCTACAGGTCACCAAAGAGTAAAAGCGTTGAAGGGGATTGCGAAAGTGAAGCCCTGAAGTCTGACGGAGAAGGCGAAACGGAGGGTAAAGATGGGACTGCCCTTGAAGCAAAGATGTCCCTGCTCAACGGGATCACTGTTATCGTCGGCTCCATCATCGGGAGTGGTATATTCGTGTCTCCGACGGGTGTACTCAAATATACTGGTTCAGTTAACGCCAGTCTGTTGGTGTGGATTGCCTCCGGAGTTTTCAGTATGGTGAGTTATTACATTTTTTGTATGCTCTTAAACCTTACCAGCCCAAAAATCGCTTCGAATTATCTATGGTCATGATAAAAACATGTACCCGCGTGCGTATCCTAACTGTAATCGAATTAAATAAAAATTGACCGAGAATTTAACAAACCAATTTGTTGATTTTTCAAAGGCATTTGATCCTGTAAAACGGCTTTTGTTAGGGAAACTTGTTGTCGCAATGTTTACGCCTAAATACTGTGTTTATTTTTCTACGACAACTTTACAAAAATTACAGATGATACAATCCCTTCGCCTTCGAGAGTGCATATTCTCTAGAGACCACATAGCGTAGAGCTGGCTGGATCTTTTAGTTCTGCGACATCGCCAAATTTTAGCCCATGGCATTCACTGCTCGTACTATGCATAGTGCTCACATAATTAAGCTACCTTATATTTTAATGTGAATTAAAAAAAAAACAAATTAATGTACCATTATTTTGTCTGATGAGATATGGCTTAAATTACTAGCAACGTACAAAAAAGTGTTTGTGACTTTTATGAATGTTAAGACAATTTCATTTTATTACCAATCTGAAATATGAAATGAATAAATTGTTGTGTTACTTAGTCTGATGAAGTTTAAATGGGGATTTATTCTTTCTAGTCTATTAAGTGAATTTATACTCTGCGAATTGTTTTGGTGTCTTAGGAGGCTTATTACGAAGAATGCGTTTTAATTCCAATTTAATAAGCCCCTTGGCGAAGGAGGGAAGATAACTAATTTATGTTTAGAATTATTTTTTTTAACTTTTTATTGATGTTTTTGTTACTACATTAACTTTGTTATGCATGCACGACAAGTAGATGATGCCATTAATTTGTCACTATAGTCTAAAAACGTTTAAGTAAGTGGTATTGAAAATAAATAACTTGAAAATAACACGTTATACTGATTATCTTTCCTGTTCATTAATTATAGTGTAGATAATTGCGAATTTTGCTACTAACATTTCCTTAAACCACTTCTGTATTCTCTGTACCACATATACGTCTTATTTTATAGAACAGAAGCTGCTCGTCTTTCTTTATAAGTATTTTTATATTTCCTTATTACATTTATTCCATGGCTTTGTTATTAATATGTATTTTGTAACCAAAAACATTTAAAGTTTAATATCACAGCAATTTGTTTCGTTATCAAACTTTTGTATTCACACAAGCGGTCTGGTGTGATAATGAACGTGACATTAAAAACAGATCGACTTCAATATTTAGTGTCAAATGAAAGCGATTCAATCAAAGAGAAAGAAATTAGTTTCCATTTTTATCAGGGAATGGAAACAAGTCGTAAAAGTCGATTAAAGTTATTAATATAAGCGATTGGTTAATGAAAAAGTATTTTTGGTTTAATTAAATAAAGAAAATTGCTTACACAATACACCGTATTATTAACAGAACAACGAATTACTCGTACAATATGTAATAAATATCAGGTGTATTACAAATATTCTGTATTCAAATAAGCTTATAAAAGCACTCTTGATTGATTGATCCATTTTTTTTTTACCGATCGCCCATTAGACGTAATCGTATGATTGACAACAAAAAGAATGGGCACATGGAATTTATTGGTTCTACACTCGTATACATTTAGGCCATTTCTTATATTCAAATATAAATCTTCATGTTGATTAATTTCAAACAACACTTTTTTGAAATATGTTTGATGTACTATTGCGGTACTGTTTAGGATTTAAAATGAAATATTGTCTAATAGATTGGCGCGTACTGTTACGCGGAGCTTGGCACCATGATTCGGCTGAGCGGTGCCGATTACGCGTACATCATGGAGACATTTGGACCGTTCGCGGCGTTTATCAGGCTATGGATCGAGTGTATGATCGTCAGGCCTTGCTCACAGGTATTATTCACGGTCACAGAGTGGTAAGTGTAAGATTTACGCTAACGCGTTCACTAGTGAGCGCGTTAGGAATTTGTATGGAGATTTATATTTCTTGGTAGTTACCGCTAGAGGCGCTGTACCGGATTCTATACTAAAATCTTAACGCGCTCACGATCGACAGTGAACGTAAACATCAAAAAAACTTACACTAAGCATTCTGATTGCTTGCGTTAAGCGATATTCTTTGACATTACTATAGAGGGTTTGAAAGATTATTCAATTGTAAATGTATATAATTATAATTAATTATAATGTTTATGTTTCTAGAAATTAATGTCGCTTATAGAAAATGAAATTGGTCGCGACGAAATCGACAACAAATAGCACAAAAAGCAAGCAATTCCAATTATGTCTATTACTTAATATAGTTCACAATCTCTTAATAAAACCTATCAAAATCATCAAGTATAACAATGGATTTTATTTTAAAACTTGAAACTAAACAAAAAAAATAATATGAATTAAAACTACTTATCTATGCTATTACTAAAACTATAAACTAACTATTTTATAATGAACATAAGAGAAATTATTTAATTATTATAAGAATAAAATAAAAAATACGATAACTTCAGCTTTTTGAATTTATTATAATATATTTCTTTTAATATAAAAATACAACAATTTGGTATTAATTTTGTTGACATTTCCTATTGTGTCGTGCATTTGAATAGCAGCTGCTGAGTAAATATTGAAGCTGGCGTAAATTAATACGCAGATAGAGTGTAGAGTATAAAAGGCGTTTTAACGTGTTTACTGACACTCCCACATTCTGCAGAGCTATTTTTGTGTAAAACTCTCATTTAAATTAGTAATAAATTCATTTATTTACATCATATTTATATTTTAATAAATGTTTAAACTATTCCTGAACACTTACACATATAAATAATAATAAAGTTTTGTTTGACACCTAAAAATCTCACAAAATATAATGCAATTTGTCAATTACATGCGCTTTAATACGTTTAATAATTGGTTTTATCAAAATTTTAATAAAATATACAATAATACAGTTTCGTTATTTTGTAATTTCTGGAGGCAATTGCTTCAATTGCTGCATTTTTTTTTCGGAATAATTATTAACATATTCTTCATTCTCTCATGAAAAAAAATGACGACCTCCGTAGCCGAGTGGTTTGCACGCCAGTTTCATGGTATCGGGTCAATGTAGAAATATAATTTTTCTATATTGTCTCGAGTCTGGGTGTTGTGGTATCTCCGTTGTCTCAGATACTCCATAATACTGGGACTTCTGAGTAATGTATGTGATGTGATCTAACATATATATTTTTTTATTTAGACTTGTGACAAGGTGACAAGTTAATGTGTATTTATGACAAGACTTAACAATTGAGAAACGGCTTTTCTTATTGAAGTTTACAGAACTAGTTTAATCCATTAGTCTGTTTGATTTTTGCCTCTTTTTATATAACTAAAATTCTGATTCCATTAATCAGAATTTTAGTTATATAAAAAGATTTTGACATTAAAACCTGCTTATACAATAACGCAATACATCACTCACACCTTTTCTATATGGGTATAGAACTATTCACAGAATATCCTCGTACACATTTAGGTCACATATAGGTTCAACAACCTTTGTACTCAGGCTTTACGTAATCCATAAATACTTTTGTATTGATTTGATTCAGTCGATATGTACAACCTTTCATAGTATTACATAATCTTTTATATAAAATTATTTCCTGTTTTTTTTTGTAACGAACATAAGAAACAAATAAAATATATGAGAATTACGTTCGTTCATCGTCATAAAAAAGTAAAGATAATGCAACTGTCAAAAATTATATTATTTACTCTTTGATTATTTTGAATTTAAAAACAAAAAAATTTAAAATTCGATATTTAAAATTATAATAGTCCACATAGAGGTTACATTTTAGATTTGCCAAAGGAGTGTCAAATTCCAATCAAAATTATTGCGTACATATATTTATGAAATGGGATTCCCGCTTTGCTATAATAAATGGAAGTGATTGACATTACATAAACTTTACCCTTAAATATATTCCAATAAACTTCAATACAGTTTCGCTGGTTTACTTTACAAACGCTTAATATCCAGTGTGATTTGAATTTAAAGTCAAACAAGAACATATGAGTTCAGTATACTAAATTGGCGCCCAAGCGTGGTGTAAGATTTGTAACAAATGTTTTGTAGATCCTTTCTGTTTAATAAAACAGTGTCTAGAGACAATGTAGACGGCTTTATTTCCTTCGCAAACATGTTTAAAGAATCGTATAGATTTGCTGATACTGGAGCCTTTGTAATAAATGTAGCTTTATAGTACCCATTTGTATTGAGCATCAAAATAATTTTCCTGTTAACTTTATTTTAGGAGATATCAAAACTTTGGCGCCCAACGTGTTGTCAGATACGATGCGTTACTATATCAAGTATTTTTATGAATCGCGTTTTGATAAGTATTTAAGTTATTTAACGGGAATGAAATGAAAATATCTTTATTCAAGTAGGCAAAGCACTTTTGAATCGTCCAAAAAATTTTTTTCCCCTACCACTTGTTCAGGACGTCTTTTAGCTGATAATCTTTTGTTATCAGTGTACATACATATTTTTGTTTATGTTAGTTATTGTTTTACTTTATACTTATTATTTCCCTTTTTTAACAACTAAAATTAAAAATAAGGAAAACAGTGATTTTAATAAATGTCTCATATTATGACCTTTTTTGATACGAAGATTATGACGGATTTTTGTTTATATACCATAAGAATAGGGTCAACCATAGTGAAAAAAAAATGTGCTCTGATTAAATACACAGCATATTTCACAACTTTATATTGACCAGTTTAATGCAAAAATAAAAAATTGGATAGCACGATCATCACCATCGGCCCTCTTACGCCCCCACTGCAGGGGCTCAGGGGGCTAATTCTACTAAATAAATTTTGTTTAAATTGAATCAATTCCAGTTCTATTTTAGCTGGAATTGTATCGTATGTCATTTAGTAGAATAGAAAAACCATTAAAAACTGTAGTTTTGTTCGGTTTCGATCCGTTTTTGATTCGATTTAAACAAAATTTATTTAGTAGAATTGGCCCCCTGGCCTTCCTTATGGAATGTTAAGGAGGATGGACCATGACCCTCCACGCTGACATAATGCAATAAGAATAACAAGACCATATCTTAAAGAAATGTTAAGGAAATGTATTCATAATTCTCGTAATACATTTTTATATTGTTAGTTGATCTATACAATTAAAATAATTCTGTTTATTGTAAAAATTGTTTACATTAGGTATTTTAATGGCCGTTCTTGTTTTAGGCAATAGTTGCTTTGACGTTTAGCGTGTACGTGTTGAAACCAATATTCCCCGAGTGCGACCCACCGGAAGATGCCACAAGACTACTGGCTGCGTGTTGCATATGTAAGCACCCGTAATATAAAAAAAAAACTTTTTACATATTTTTTTGTAATACCGCAACCGTATTTCACTCTTAATTTCAATACCTACACGTATGTTATTACAAAATATTACACAAGGGAAAACAATCCGAAAATCTAATTTATTTTTAACTTTATTTATATTATAATTTAAAAAAGTTTTTTCACACCTGCTTTTGAAAATAGAAGTCGTTGGTAATTTTAAATTATTTATAATAATTATTATTACTAATAATAATACTAATACAGTTTCCCACATTTAAGTAAGAAACAATATTATTTTTACTTTTATCAATATTTGTACAAGCAATTATATTAAAGCATATTTGTCCGTGAGAAAATTTGTTGAAAAATATTTAACACGTATGTTTTTTTTATAGTCATTAAATTACGGCAATACATAGAAATAAAATGTCACACGACGTCACGCTTTTGTACATTTTCTACAAAACTATGACGTAGCGAGCCCCCACTCCTCAACTTTAATGCTTTTTATCTAATCTGTTTCTTGTTAAATTGCAGTAAAAAAATACGTTTGTTTTATTTTTCTATTATGACGGACTAAATAGTTTTTTTTTACCCAGGCATCATCCCCTTTATCAATAGCACGCTTGAAAATTATAAGCATTGCAATAGGATAGTTTATTGCATTGCGAAATGTTTAATAAACATACATATTAACAAAAGTACTTATTTTTTAAATAAAAATAAAAAGTTTGAGAACCTCTGCAAACAGCTGAAAACAAGGCACGTACTTAGTGAACGAAATATAAAACTTTCTTATCCTGTTGTTAGTTATATATAATAATAAATGAATTTATTTTGTATTGACAGTTTTTTTGTTGTTGTAGTGTTGCTAACATTCGTGAACTGCTGGTCCGTCCGTGCGGCCACCAGGGTGCAGGACTGGTTCACGTACGCTAAACTGCTAGCTCTGTTCATCATCATAGCAGCAGGTGGCTACCAACTCTGCAGAGGTATGTGAATTTAGGATATAGGTTTTTTTATTATATTTAAACTAGCTATTTTTCCGCGACTTCACCATCGTAAATAATAGCCTATGTTACTTGCATATGATGTAGTTTCCCGTTCGTGAAATTTTTAAATCTGTCCAGTAGTTTCGGAGCCGGAGATGTAAACAAACAATCAATTGTCAAATAATCAAACATTCAAGATGCTGTCACTTTCAGGGAGGAATAGAATAAGATCATAATAAATATTATAATAAAAGCTGTAGATATTTTCTCAATTCTTATGGGAAGAGGGTGACTCAATTTGCCGCAGAAATTGGATCTTTTATGATCGGTCGCACAGAGACGCATTTATTATCGAAGAGGAAAAAATTGATGCTTCATTCATTCTGATGAAATACATGGTAATATTGATTGGGCTTAGTTAATTATGGCGAAGAATATAATACTAAAGCTTTGTAAAAATAACAGTGCACAGTCTTTTTGTGGTACATAAGACTGCATTTGACGTGCAGTTAAAATATCTTCTTGAAGCTTTAGATGAAATTACATAAATTATTTTATAGTTTAAATATTAAACAATACTTATTGTAGAATCATTTTTTGTTTTTTTTTTCATTATAGGTCTATTTTCTACTTAATGTGCTTTCATACAATACACTTTGTTTATAAAGCGATTGAACGAAAGGCTTTTTTGATGCCAAGTCAGTGACATGAAGATTGATTACCTTAGTAGTAATACTTAATGTTAACCAAATATTTGTTGAGCGTGATTCATTCCTATAAGAGTTTCCTGTTCACGGTTGAAATATATTTTCGAATACAATGTTTGAGTTGGCAATCAAACCAATAGGTAATTCAATCAAACTGGTTTGGCCTTAATCCTAACCACGAAATTATCAAACCCCAAACTTAAACTCATCTTCTTCGGCCGGAAGGCGTCGGCGAAGCAGACGTCTCTATTAGATGATTGTTACGATCCGCTTTCATATCACATTGTAATTTCACTATCAATTTTGATCTTTATATTTGCACACATAAGGTACGAGAGCACACATCTGAATACATTGTCACTCGTGTGAAAATATGTTATTGAATTACTGAGCTCTGTACGCCAATTTTGTATCATAAAGTATCTGAATTTGTATTCGTACCTATGTTGTTGTTAGAAATATAATAAATTTTGTATAGGTATACTCAGGTGTATGATTGGAGAGTACATTTGAAATTTTGCTTGCTAGAGAAAACCAGTAATATTTCGCTTGTTACATTGACGCCTCATTATACCAACAGTGATAGTCATTTATGATGCGTCAAGACAATCTTACAATCAAACTTAATTATATTGTTGTATCCATTTTTAGACAAATTAAAAGCGAATCCATGTATATATAAACAATGCCATTATTATCATATCATGTCGTTTTCGCGTTTCATTTGTTTGTTGTTGATGTTGCCGCAAATTAAAATTGGTTAAAATCTTTGTGCTATTAAATGGTTCGTCGTCACCATCAGCCCTTCTTCGTCCTCAAGGCAGGGCTTACGCCTTCCTTGTGGATGATTAAGGAGGATGGGCCATGACCCTCCAAACTGGTTTAAATGCGGATGTGAGAGTATAAATTATTGCAAATGCAGCCGAGACCAACAGCTTCACGTGTCTTCCGTAGCACGACGTAGTTCGAGATAGTATTTTTTTGGTTACCCATCCCGTTACGGATCCTAGCTTAACAGCGATCGCGGGCCACGGTGCTCATCCATAACGCCACCGAGCCACTCCACCGATAGCTATTAAATTGTTACTTTAATATAATCATCTTTTGCAGGTAAGGTGGAACATTTTACATTCGAAGGTACTACAAATGACGTGACGTCAATAGCGCTCTCATTCTACTCCGGCTTGTTCGCGTACAACGGATGGTGAGTCATAGATATATCATTATCGGCCTATCAAAAGTCTCTTCTCTTATAATAATACAAGCTTTCCTTACGAGGGCGGGATGATAAATAGCTAGCCCAACCCATATTTTGTATAATAAAGATATAAAATCTCCTTAGTATTTTACTCATTGGTTCATTAGCTGCCAGTGTTCCAAATTTCGAATCGATCGTATAGTTTTTCTTTTAAATATTGACATTTCAAAAAGCATTCTTTTGTTTTTTCTGCAAAATTGATAAAATTGAGCTACGAGCTGTGATATTTTTTTTACATTTAAAAGGATTAAAAGGTGGAGAGTTTTTTTCGGAGATGAAGGATGTTTTGGGAGAAAATGCTCCTTCATATGCGACCATAAAAAATTGGGTGGCTGAATTTAAACGTGGCCATACCAGCACCCAAGATGAACATCTTCCAGGACGACCAAAAAGTGCCACTACTCCAGAAATTGTAATCAAAATTCATGATGCAGTTTTAGCTGACCGAAGATTGAAACTTTTTAGCATATTACATTGAAAGCGCATTACATTTGGACTCAAGAATTATGTATGAAAAAATTATCCGCAAGGTGGGTACCGCGATTGCTTACAGTTGACCAAAAACGCGTTCGTATGCAAATTTCACAAGAATCTTTGGACCGCTTTAAGAGCAATACAACTGATTTTCTGCGACGGTTTGTTACTACAGACGAGACTTGGGTTCACCACTATATACCTGAATCAAAAATTCAGTCTAAACAATGGACGGAAAAAGGATCCCCGGCTCCAAAGAAAGCAAAGGCTGTGAAATCAGTGGGGAAAGTCATGGCGTCAGTATTTTGGAATTCGAAGGGTATATTGATGATTGATTACCTTCCAAAAGGACAAAACATAAATGGCGAATATTATGCTGATCTACTGGATAAATTACAAGTGTGTATTCGTGAAAAAAGACCCGGCCTGGCTAAAAAAAAAATCTTTCATCAGGATAATGCGCGCGTTCACACGTGCATCACTGCGATGGCGAAATTCAAATAATTAAATTATGATTTGCTACCACACCCAGCTTATTCTCCTGATCTGGCACCATCTGACTTTCATCTATTCCCTAAGCTCAAAAATTTTTAGGTGGACAAAGATTTGAAAATAATAGTGAGGTGATGTCTGCCGTGGACAGTTATTTTGAAGGGCTTGAAGAAAACCACTTCAGGGATGGCATCAAGGCTTTAGAGCATAGATGGATGAAGTGCATAGCGCTTCAAGGTGACTATGTCGAAAAATAAATATACTTTTAACACACTAATTCAAGTTTTTCTATGCTAGGCTAGCTATTTACCATCCCGCCCTCGTATTAATAGAACTATGTAGGTAATAGTCCACTGCTAATTTTTGTCCATTATTCCAACTCAATGCTCATAAATTATCAAAGTATATAAGTAAGAATAATTTTGAAATTAACCTCTATAAACTGCCGTATGTAACCAGGAATTATTTGAACTTCATCATCGAAGAGCTGAAGGACCCGGTACGCAACTTGCCGCGTGCCATCGCCATCTCCTGCACTCTCGTCACCGTCGTGTACACCTTCACTAATATAGCCTTCTACACTACACTCTCACCTACAGAGGTAACTAAGTAATTGACGTTAGTTTATTTCATTTTAAGATATAATTGTTTAAAAACGATTTATTTAAAGCTTAATTATTTTACATATTTATAAATAAGATATAGCGCGCACTCATTATATTTCATTTATATACAAAGTTCGAATCATACATCTCGTTGCGTCATACGAAAACATATCTCCGTCTATTATGTATATACAATACACATTATTGCATCCTCTGAATTATATATAATATACAAAGGAACCCAGCTTGATTCAAAGAAAAGGTGTAAGAGGTTGGTCTATAGCCAGACCAACCTCTTACACTTTGTCTAATGGTCCATAATGAAAGTTTAAGAACTACTGCTGTAGACTATAACTTAATTTACGTATCATCTCATCTCTGTTGTAATCATAAGTCGTAAAGTCGTTGAAGTTCTCGTATTCATATAAAAATCGCGTATTATATTATTAATGAGTCCACTTATTTATTTGCAGGTGTTGGGCTCGGCAGCAGTGGCGGTGACGTTTGCGGAGCGTTTGTTCGGTTGGTTCGCGCTCTCCATCCCCTTGTTCGTGGCGGCCTCCACCTTCGGTGCTGTCAACGGAGTGCTGCTTACTTCCTCACGGTACGAATCATTGTTAATTTAATCGTCCGGCTCGAAGGATCAATCGATGAGATAGATTCGCTTTACGTTATGGGCCTTTTTGGAAACATGGAAACTTTTTCTGATTTCAACTTTTTATCGAGGGTACTGTTAAGATATTTATTATTTCATCATACATATTTAACAACTTGTTTTATGAAATATATATTTTATTCAGTTATAGCGCCAATAGAAATTCGAAATAGCTCATCTATGAAATTATTTGAGTACGGGACCCTAAGATGCTAGTATGCGTGTGGGGTGGTGTCAGGAGCCAAAGCATGAGCTCTTATAGCGATTCTTAATCCGAGCAGCGAGCGAGATACCGCTATTGCTCTGTATAGCGCTGTTCCGCTCGCTGAACGGATTAAACATTACTATAACGCCGTTAGTACACCGAAGCAATCGCAAGCAATGTATAGCGTGTGCTTTGTCTCGCATAAAATATTTTGTCGAGCTAATAAATGATTATTAGCTCGACAAAATATCTTCGTCATTCTCAGTACGGCTTCGCAGTCAAATGCGAAAAAGGTCAGACGCACACGTTTCGTACTCAAGATCATCACCCATCCTGATTTCTGGTGACTATCCGAATATCACGAATTTAGTTTTTCAAAAGGTGACAACCCTATTCGCATAGTTGAGCAAATGTTTTATTTTGCCGTCATGCAGGCTAAAGAAGGTTCTACCATAATTTATGGATCAAAGTATACACTACTATAAAATAATTCCTTTGGAAATTTAAAATTTACCATTGTCTAAATTTAAAACCTATAATAAGAATTGTCTACTCAGTAAAGAATATTATACTGTTAATAAATATTTAAGCTACAAAACTAATGTTAAATATGGCTCAATTTTCATGTATATTAAATTGTTTATCGATGAGTTTCTTTGACTACACATGTGATTCGATTGACGAAAATACTGTTTTACTCTTATATTCTCTAATATTGTAATGGAAAGTGACTTCATATTTTAATGAAGTCATTTTTCAATCTTGACGCACGGTATGAAGTAAAACAGGGAGAAAAAAAGCAGCCCATGCCGAGTTTCTTGCCGGTTCTTCTCGGGACGAGGTCTCCCGCCGTAGATTTACGAGCCGATGGCGTGGCTCTCGACTATCACAAGTGCTCGTGACAGTCTAGAGTGAATAAATAATTGGCGGGTGTTACGGGCTCGGGCGCAGGTTGTTCTACGCGGGCGCGGCGCAGGGGCAGATGCCGGAGATGCTGACGATGGTGTCGCCGCGCGCCACGCCCGCGCCCGCGGTGCTGGCCGTGGCGCTGCTGTCGCTGCTCTACCTCACCGTCTCCGACATCTACGCGCTCATCAACTACGTCGGATTCGCCACATGGGTAGCCTTCTTGTTCTCCTTTTTTTTTATTCATGATAGGCAAGCACTCGACCACAGATCACCTGATGGTAAGCAATGCAGTGGTCTAAGATGGAGCGTGCTTGCCTCGAAGGAACCGATTCACTCTTGACTTGAAGAGTCCCAGATTGTATTTGCCCGGAAACAGCGAGTCCGGTAGCGAATTCCACAGCTTCGCAGTTCGCACGATGAATGTAGAGGCGAATCGTTTGGTGCGAGTTTGTGGAATCTCCACAGTAAAGCGGTGACGCTTTCTGTTTCACCTTTCTGTTTCAACTTGAACTGGTGCTGATACTATAACTATATTTTCATCTCGATTAGTTATTTGAAATACAGAAAGGCTATTTAGTATATATTTGTTTATTGTTATTTTCTTGTTCCGAATCTTGAATACTGATATCATTGATAAAATGTATCCTCATTGATATGAGTGTACTTTTAATTAAAAAAAAAACTACTTAAAATACGACTTATCGAAATATTAATTACATTTCCTTTTTTCAGTTGAGCATCGGCGCCGCGGTGTTATGCTTACCAGTATTAAGATATACACAACCCAATTTAGAGAGACCGATTAAAGTCAACTTATTTTTCCCTGGTGAGTACCATCTATCTACCTACCATCTACGGATAATATATAAGAACTCATTAATTTAATAAAGTTTTTAACATTGGCGCCCAACGTGTTATTTATTCTTGAATCTTCTCTTAACACTTTTTATTTTTTGAATATTCAATATAAGAAATAGATGGAAAATAAACATGTTTTTTATTATGTTTCATGTCCATGACTTTCATTCAACGTTTATTATTTTTGGCGCCCAACGTGGTAGTTTTATTTTTTACTTTTTGTTAGTTTCTATCAAATGAGAATAAAATAATTTGATTAGTGTATTTGCTCTTTATTTCTTTAAGTTTCCAATATTATTATGATATTTAATGTGTTTTTAGAGTTCCGTAGTAGCTCAAATGTTGTTGGTACTAGAAATTTGTGATTTGGCACGGGTATACACGTTAATTAAGCCGATAAAATGGCAACGTAACGTTTCGAAAAAAAATTGGATACCTAGGGGAGGTTTAGTGGGGATGTGAAATTCTCTTCCTCGTAATATGGGGTATCGTTAGATAAGTCTTTCAAAAACACTGGAGGTGTGGGAAGGTCTTTATTTTGATTTAGTAAACCGTGTGTGACTTATTAAGTTTAATTTTCATTAGAGTCAAGTGTCCCCTTCTCTATCAGTTTAACGATCGTTGGTAAAATTTAAATGTTATGGCGGTAGTACCTATATACTCTGTGGAACAGAATGACCGACACTCCCGAGGTTCCTGGAGAGTACTATTTGTCTTTAATATGATGTAAAAAAAATTATAAGTCTAGGTCAAATAGTTTCGGAGATATTAAATTACAAAGTTTTTGAAAAAAAAAATGAGTGTTTTCAACCCTGAATCAGCTGTTTTTGGGACGTACTAAGGAAAAGTTTTAAATCGGTCATTGACTTCTTCATTTCTAAAAACGAAATAAACTAGTTTGTGATTTATAAGACTGCTTTCATGCAAATTCTACCAGACAATCAATAAACAAGGTAATCAAAATGCTTAAATCGATTTAAAGACTAACAGCCGGTTTCTGATTTGAAAAAAGTAGAAAAATTCTACTGCTTATTCTCAATAACCTAAGTTTTTTTAATTTCACAAGTCAAATAGTCCTAGTTTTATCAAACTACTATCAACTGATCATCAAAAAACTAAAATCGGAAACGAAAACTAAGTGATGTTAGTTTGAGACGTTTAACTTTAAATTCTCAATTAAGAAACCGAATGTAAAATTTCCTAAATTATTGTAGAGAGATCAGTGTAACCTTAACCTACGTTATTTTAAAAGAGCAATTCTCCAAAAAAATTGTTTGAATGGGTTAATACTCCTTTAACAACGGGATCGTTAATTAAACTCGATAAACTCACAAATATTCCAGAGATTCATCATTAACACAAATGAACTTTGTTTTAAAATCATTGAGAAATTTGTTATTAAAATAGCATTTAAAAAGAACATTAAAAAATGCGTGATATCAAAAGATGAAAAAAAATGTGAACCGAGTTCGTCCCTCGATATCAAAGCCCCACCCGCCCGCCAGCCGCCAGGCGGCTTCATTATTCTGTCGATATTTTCCGGCCGATCAGTCGCCGTCGACCTTTTGCGCTGGAGTGCTGTTGCGCATCGCCGCCGACGCCCCGCTGCGAAGCGTCTTTTTTATCGATTTTTCACAAGAGTGTTCGTCTTGAGTGTTAAGATTAGTTTAGTGAAGATTGTGTTTAGTTTTGTGTGAAATGTGATGTGTTTTGCGCGTGCATGCACCGGCATTGAAAAGAGCGTGCTTAGCTCAGTCTTCAGAGACGAAGTGGACATTTTCAGCATCGACTATCATTAAGATATCGGTAAATAATTAAATTAGATTAATGTATTTCGCGGTTCGTTGTAATCTGCACACAATTGATATTGCCCATGCGCGTTATAGGGCTGTTAACACTTGGAAATTTAAATTTTTTACTCCATTTTTACACCTCCTCTATTTTTAAATATTTGTCAAATAAAATGAACGTTTGCATGTAACCTAACTTAAAACTTTCGGCTGTGTCGGTCATTTTGTTCCTCCCAGTATAACGAAGTTAAAAGGAAAACTCACACTGTATTTAGTTACACAATGGTGGCAATAAAAATAGATTTCTTGATTTAAACAATGTATTTTCGTAGAAGACTCTTTACAGTGTAAATTGTGAAGTATGTAATAATGTACCCACACTATATTTTTATAAAAATTGATAGTGAAACAATATGACGTATGAGCGATTGCTATCAATAAAATCAAAGGCGTTTGGCGCCGCAACATCTTCCCGGCCGTTGAAAGAGTACTTTCAACACTAAAGTTCATCTTCTGTAGGTAGAGGACATATGCGAGTTAGTGGCCTTCGTATAGATCCTTTGCTGGTATTTATATCTGCAACTCTCGGAACTCCATCCGGTCCCGGAATCAGTCGCAATATTCTTCCCAGTCGCCATGCTAACGGAGGACTGTTATCTTCTGAGATCAGCACCATGTCTCCCACCTTCAACTTCGACTTGTCTGTGCGCCATTTTGTTATTTGCTGCAGTTCCGATAAATATTCCCTCTGCCATCGCTGCCAAAAATGTTGTCGCATGGCTTCCAATCTCGCATATCGTTTTAGTTGCTTCTCACTACAGTTATACAAAGCAGGTGAAGGTAGTCCTGTCAATGTTCTTCCAATAAGGAAGTGTCCCGGAGAGAGAGGAAGTAAATCATTGGGAGAAGATGACAAAGGACACAACGGACGACTGTTGAGAATCGCCTCCACTTGCGCAAACAGAGTGGAAATTTCCTCATAGGTTAAATGACTATTACCCATGACTCGACGCAAATGATGTTTAGCCGACTTTACACCTGCTTCCCAAATACCGCCGAAATGAGGAGCATAAGCGGGAATAAATATAAATTTAATATTTTGTTCACTAGCAAAATCAGTTATCGCTTCTTTATTTTGTCTAATAAAAGTACCTATATCTTTGGCAGCAGCCACGAAATTACGTCCGTTATCGCTGAATATCTCCGTTGGTGTGCCGCGCCGCAAAATAAATAGTAAAATTTTGGATTTGATTATGACAGGACTTAACAGTCACAAGGGATTAATAATTTTCAAATTCTTGATTAAATGAACAAGACACGACTGAATGATTAGAATGCGTCGCTCTAAATAACTGTTTTGTACTAATAGGACCGGACACTAACCACCCCAGTTTCGAGCTAATCAACTTTGGATTGCTGGGCCCCAACGATAGCTGCTCGTTGTTTAGAATATCCCAAAATATGTCGGCTCCAATGAGCAGGTCTATTGGACCTGGTTCAAAAATTCTTTTAATACCAAACATTGAGATACCAATTGAAAGTTACTACATATTGAATTTATTTGAATATTACAAGTTTCAATTACATTATTTGTGACATTATTGCCAATACCAATGACTTTCAGTGCTTCAATAGATTTTATGAATTTAGTGATAATTTAGCTTTCAGCGACTCAGTGATAAAGGAGGATTGGCTACCGCAGTCTAAAAGAGTGCGAACCTTGACCTTTTGCTGGTTCAATGGATTCAACACCTCTACTACGGCAGTTGATAAAAGAACATGATTGGAACATTGGTTTGCATAGGTTGATAAAGACTCGTTGTTGTCTTCTACTTCAATGACGTTATTTATTGACGACGGTGCGCGATGAAGCAAAGTGTTGTGCTTCTGATTACACTCACGACACGGTCCCATTCGACATTCAGCTGCAGGATGGCCCTGTCTGAGACAATTTATGCATAATTTATATTTTGCAACATCTTGCATTCTTTGATCAACTCCCTTTGCCTTAAAGGTAAAACAGTCATAAATTTTATGATTTCCGTTGCATATTATGCAATTATAATTAGTAATTTTATTAGTTTTTGAATTAAAATTGGCATATGTTTTTGTATATGCATATTGACCTGATTTTTGGTTGTTATAACCGTATGAAGATTGAGGCGAGTTATTGCTACGTGTAGGTATCATTGAGGGCTTCGAAATGCTGCTGTCATGCCTATTACGATTTAAAGCCTCGAGTACATCCGCCCTTTCTATAACGAACTTGAAGAAATTCTCCGAAGAAGGAACATCACTATCTATATTATTTCGAAACTCTTCCCATTTCAACAAAGTATTACTATCCAACTTTGAAGTTAACATAAAGATAATTAAAACATCCCACTTGTCAGTCGGTTGTCCTAAGCTGGACAACGCCCGCAAATTCTTTGTCACGTGATCCACTAAAAACCTTAATGACTTTTCAGATTCACGTTGGATCTGCTTAATATTAAACAAAGAATTTAGGTGCTGGTTAATTAAAATACGCTTGTTATTGTAACGATTATGGAGTAAATTCCATGCTTCAATGTAATTAGCACTAGAAATTTCTAGATTTGAAATTATCCTAGCTGCATCTCCTTCTAAATAGGACAAGAGATAGTGATATTTATTGATATTTGGGATACGCTCATTTTTGTGAATAAGATTTTCAAATGTATCACGGAACTCCAACCAACGGAAATATGATCCATCGAACTTAGCTATTTGAATCTGTGGAAGTTTTAAACTGATTTCTTGTGGCCCTGCACAACAAGAAACGTCAAGTACGGAATTACGCCTAGGTGGCGGATATTGTCCTCTTTGTTTGATGGTGATGTTAAGTGTTTGTGTTCGATTTTCCGACATTTATATTATTATTTCATTTCAAATTGGTACAATTTTATATTAAAATGTATTTTTAATTTATATTTATTAACTTATTTTATACGTTTTTCTTTATTATTATTATTTTTTTTTTATTCAATAAGAATTTGATGATATGCTTTTATGATTTTTCACTTTGGTCTTTGGTTCCCCGCTAATCCAAACTTAGGTTAAAGCTGAAAATCGGCAGTTTGCTTTTCAAGCAAACATATTGCCGAGCTTTTGCCCTTTTTGCATCGTCCCGGCATACATGTGATCCTGTGTGTGTTTTAATCGCTTGTTTAATTTAATTTCTTTATATTTATTTTGTTTTTATATTTTATGTCAGTGTGTATTTAGCATGTTGTGCTGTGATTATTGCAAATAAAATTATCATTCATTCATTCATTCAATTACGTCGCTGCTCGTTTTCAAATTTTTTAGAATATCTTTCCAATAAATCCTTTGCGGTAGCTATACTTAAAATAATATCTTGCTCGATATTATCTCGTTCATTAATTTCTACCGATATATTAGCGGAATTTAGCACATCTAACTCATTTTGCAAGTCATCAAATCTTATTGACAATGCTTCAAACTTTGCGAGTCTAAGATTCAATCCAGTTAATTGAATGTTAGTTAAATCGACATTTAAGGAAACACTGCTTAAATAATTTTTAAATTTAGTAATCTGGCCCTTTATAGATGACCTTTTAGCACATAATTCTTTATAAATTTTATCATTTTCTTTCGCCATTATTAATGATAAAAAAATCAAAGCACCGTCAACAAAAATAGATAAAATTAAATTAAATTAATAAAAAGAATTGCTCACGCTCCTCGTTTCGTTGTAATGCCTGCCCGCCGCACAGCTGATTGACACTTATTATTTCAATGCCAAGGTCAGTCAATGCATAGGCAAATACCTTTATGAATTTCCCTGGAATTATCGGCGTAAATATATTAGAACAACTATATTGATTATTGTTTAATGTACACCACTACGGATACAATGATCTAAATATGATAATTTATTTTAAAAGAAATATGAAACGATTAATTCCAAAATAATACTAATATGTAGGTAAAGAAAAAATAATTTTTAAACCCGTTGAAACAATTGAGATTGCCACTCCAATTTGCACAAATGAATTAGAAACACAAAAGCAGAATGAAAAAATAATTTGGAATTATGGAAAAAAGGAAGGACACTTAACTTTGTTGTAGACTATTACGCGATGTGATACTTTAGCTATACCGCTGCTCGCAATAATTAATCTCAATAAGTAATATCCTTTGATTATCCTTATCCTTGATTGTCTGAATATTCTTTTGTTCACTGGTACTTCTTGATAATATAGTAACTGCTTCCAAATTCGTGCATCAATGTATCAAGGTTGACCTTCAAGTTGTCATTCGAAATTTTGCAACAAAATTATTATTCTTCGACCTTGCACGGATTCTTCATATAGTTCCCCTCATGGGCCACCAATTTATGTATTTAGTTACACAATGGTGGCAATAAAAATAGATTTCTTGATTTAAACAATGTATTTTCGTAGAAGACTCTTTACAGTGTAAATTGTGAAGTATGTAATAATGTACCCACACTATATTTTTATAAAAATTGATGGTGAAACAATATGACGTATGAGCGATTGCTATCAATAAAATCAAAGACGTTTGGCGCCGCAACACTCACACTTAAGTCGTCTTTACAAGTTTACGAGTAATAATCGACCAATTGTATTTAATCTCGAAAACACTAATCTTTACTTTTTTAAATGGATAATTGAAAATCTATGAATAAAGACTGTTTTTGGGCAAATTTTTCGTTGTATGTAAATACTATTTATATGATACAAGGGGTCGATCAACAACCGAAACCTGCGTCGAGTGAATACAAGAAATCTTGAATGCCTGGGAGGACTCGCATGGTGCGTTAGGTGTTTTCTATGACCTATTTAAGGCATTTGATTGTGTTTTTCATGAAACATTGATAAGGAATCTTCATTAGTATG